GCAATGAGAAGTATGGGTCAGTTTTCCTATGCATGTGTCCTCCTTCTAGCTCACCTGGTTTTAATAAATATCTTACAATCGTTCCTTTTTGTAATCGTGGTTTATCTTTCCCAATAGGTCTTTTAGATTTGATAGTTACTTTGGGAATCACTTCCCGCAATGTCATCGCATATGATGGAGACATGCCTATTAATCACGTTTTATTATTATTTATATAGTTGATAATTTTCTGAAGTATCTTATTCCATAATTTCGAACGTTCACCTCCTCTGAGTTTGCCCTCTATGATATATTGAATTTTATATATATATCTTGCCAAATTCTGCTTGAATTTTTTAACCAATGCTAAACTTTCGAAACTGTAAAAATCAACAATTCTTATAGGAACATTATAACGTTCTATTCCTCGAGAGAATGATCCTTTGAACTCCCCTGCACCATCCACCATCAACAATATGGGCCATGTGAGAGAATTTTTGGGATCATTGTATATTTTTTCAATCACGTTCCAAACTTCCAAACTATTCTTTGATGTCAACGCTACTGCACATTTAAACCTGCTGGCAGTATCTATAAGCACCAAGGTGTGTAAATACACTTTCCCTCTTTTCTGATCATCATAAACATGAGGTAATAGATCACATTGGTGTAATTTATTAGGAATTCGACATTTAGAAAAGCTAGCCTGAGCCTTAATCTTTGGTGGATGACGATATATTTGGTAATCATACTGATTTTCTAACCACTTTGTTATATCTTTGAGTCGAAAATGATCATACCCTTCTTTTTTGCACGTCTTTTGTAGAGCTTTCACATTCGGATAAAACCCAGGAATATTATAATAGAGTGCACGACAAACTATAGCTACCTCAACATATGGATCTATATATATAGTAGGTATACTCATTTTGGCTATGCCTTTACTTTGTATCAATATATTATACCGTAAAAAATAGCTATGGCATTTCGTCAACCACACCGCAATCGATTATCTCGTGGGCCAAGCTCTGATCGTGAATTGGAATTGGAGCAGGTAAATCAAGCTTTGAGGGATGAGTTATCTAACGAAGTTTCAATCAATAAGTCGAATGAAAAATTTATAAAGATTCTGGAACGTAAATATACCAGATGTGAGAATGAAATCCAATCTCTTAAAGAAGAACTGGAACGTCTTGAGAATGCTTCGGAGGAAGAAAAAGCGGAGTTGAGATCGGAGATATCATCCCTTAAAAGAAACTTATATCAAGCTAAAAAAGATATCTGAGATAAGGTATCCTATATCGATAGTATAGAGAAGCAATTACAAGAATCGGAAGAGCGGGTTCAAAATTTACGGCATAGATTCAAAGATATTTCTTCTCGAAGAAGCTCTCCAAGTTTATATAATTCAGAAGAGAAAGATATAGATATGACGAATCTTGATCTTTTTATACAAATCGACCGAGACTTGAATCGTATTGAAAATCATCTTAGAGGTAAGGTTGCTTGCCGAAATCCCTTAGTGACTGTCTAAATTCTGTCAAAATTATAATAAACTATTAGTAAATAACCTG